ATTCTCCATTCCTCACCCCCACCCCCGCTTCCACCCTTCGACCTTTGGTCTCCGTGAATTTGACTACACTGGATATCTCATGTAAGGGGAATCATACAGCGTTTGTCCTTTTTTGACTGGCTTATTTCACTCAGCCGAGTGTCCTCAAGGTTCACATGTTGCAGAGTGTGTCAGAATCCCCTTCCTTTTTAAGGCTGAATAATATTCCTTTGTATGTATAGACCGCATGTTGTGGACTCATTCTTCCATCAGTGGACACGTGCGTTGCTTCTCGGTTTCGGCCGTTGTGAGTAACACTGCTACGGCCATGGGCGTGCGGTGACTTCAGCTCTTTAAAGTTCCACTTTCTCCCCATGAGGAGAGGCTTGGCCTCCGCCTGGGTTGGGTTGGCACAGGAGGGGGCCAGCCTTGCGGAGTTACCCTTCCCCGGGAGGGTAGAGGTGGGGGCGCCAAGAACAGAGAGTTCTCCTGCAAGCACTGATTGAGCCAAGAGCCCTCAGACTGAGCCTTTAAATCATCCTGGGGCCGGAGGAGCTTTTCTCTGCATCTACAATGGGAGCCATAAACCAGGCTGACTTACAGACGGTACGCACCGGTCCGGTTGTTTATGGCCGGCATCCTTTCTGATTGGTTGATGCCTGTGCTGTGCCCATTGTTAAATATTTGAAGATCACCCTGCTGTAAAGCAGTCTCAGGACTTCCCAACCTGGCTGGGTGTCAGGGTCTCTTGCAGGGAGAGTGGGGCTGCTGTGTAAAAGTTCACACCCTGGGCTCCCCCCTCCACCCCCGGAGCCAACTGAGTCAACAGGGCCTGGGGGTCTATACTGTTACTTCCTGGGTGATCCTCATGCCACAATTTTAGGGGGTATCTTCTGTGGGTTCCCCCCCAAAGCAAGCCTGGTGATGAGGGTTCAAGTGCAAATCGTTTGTCGAAAAGGGGGTTCCAGGAAATGCAAGTGAGGAGTGAGGAGGTGAGACAGGTAGGTGAAGATGCAGGACCAACCAAGTCAGCACCACAGGCCGCTGGGGGTGAGTCCCAGTGGGGAGCTCTGAGAGGCAGCGTACAATACGCCTCTGCATTAGCCCCCCGAGAGGTGAGGGAGCTGGAGTGGTTACCTGCCACCTCTTTATCCACCGCCTTGCATCAGTCATTCTTTGAGCAGTGCTGCTGGGGCTCTTAGTCCCTGGCACGTCCAGCCTGTCCGGGGTGGGGGGAGCAGGCTCTGATGGCCAGAACCCTCAGCAAAGAGTCCCAGGTTGGCACTTGGAGGTTGGGCTGGTGTATGTGACAGTGGGATGTGCTGAGGCCTAGCGGGCCGGGTACCGGTAGCATCTGGGATGGAGGGCTGCCCAGCTCCCATCTCTCTACCGTGCAAGGGGCTGTCTAGCCCCGGTCAATCACTGAGTATCCTTCCTACCCCTGAAAATCACTCTGGGCCTCATCCACTGCTAGTGGGAATGTAAATGGTGCGGCTGCTGTGAAAAACAATTCGTGGCTCCTTAATAGGTTGAATGTAGAATTACCCAGGACCCAGCAATTCCACTCCTCGTTCCTCGTTCCTGCCCACAAGTGTTCATGGCAGCGCAATTCACAATAAACAACCCAAAAATCTGTCAACAGATGAACGGCTACAAAAAAAATGTGGTCTCTCCCTACAAGGAAATCTGACTCAGCCATAGGAAGGGATTGCATACTATGTTATAACATGGATGAACCTAGAAGACTTTATTCTGAGTGAAAGAAGCCAGACACAAAGACTAGCCCTCATAGCATCTCACATATATGAAATATCCGGAACAGGCAAATTCAGAGAGACGTTCAGTGGCTTTGTGGTTGCCAGGGAGAGGGAGGGACGAATGAGGAGTTCTTGCTGAGTGGGTATGGGTTTCCTTTTGGGGGTGATGAAAATATTCTGGAAGCAGATCGTGGTGATGGTTGCACCACACTGTGAACGTACCTAATATGGCTGAATTGTATATGTTAAAATGGTTAAAACGATGCATTTTGTGTTCTATCTATTTTATCACCATTTTGGAAGAAAACCCAACAAAATTCCAGGTATTTCACAGTCTGCCTCAGAGGGCATATTATCTGCTTCTCAGGTGGGAAGCAAACCTAGAGTGTGATGTGTGTACCCTAGGGCCCCACAGCCAGGGATGATTCTCCTGAGTGGCTGCAGCTAGGACCACTGGGCTGGAGTGCGGCCCCGCAGATTGGCCTCGTTCCTGCGTGAATGGTGCACACAGGGGTTGCTGGAAGGCTTCCTGGTGGAGAAATGAGCCCTGTGTCCAGGAGAAGCCAGAGCGAGGCCCAGCTTCTGCGGAGTGGCAGAACAGCCCTGCGCGGGGGAGTTTGTGCCCAGCTGGAAAATTACAGGGCGTCTTGTCCTAAATATAATATTAAATCAGCACCTTTAATTAGTACACTTAGAAAAGGTCACTAGCAATTACCTGGGACACAAAGAAGGCATAAGCAGGCAAGAGCCTGTGAGGAAGCCGAAAAGGACCACTTTGAGCAGCACATAATTGAGGGGAAAATGGATAAAAGTCCAGGAAATTATAGGGTGGGTGACAGCGGCTGATGGCCCCATCCATGTCCTGCCCAGTGCCCCCCTTCTTGGAAGGGCCTGAGCATCGGGCCTGAGAGAGCCATTTGGGATATCGGGCCGAGTCGTATGACCTTGGCTGGAGGGCCAGCGTGGTCTTTTCCAGAACTCGGCCAGCAGAGAGCTCGGTCCCATATCCCCGAACTGGGCTGGATCCCGATGGTGGTTGGCAGGTGAAGCGTTCACTCCAGGGGGCCGCCTTGGACTCGTCATACTGTGCGCAGGCGGGACCGCTCGGGGCCTCAGGTTCCTCATATGGGACCTCCCCAAAGCATTGGGAAATAGCTCAGGGCTCCTCAAACTTTGCCGCTAAAGCACACCTGAGGGGAACAGAAAGGAAATGTGCATCCCTGGAAGCCAGGGGGAGGCTGGAAGTTCTTTTATAGCTTTAGGTTCCATTTTAAAAAATAAATTGTTACACTGTGTTCAGAAACATCCCCGTTTATTTTAGTCTAAAGCGATTGCTTGCCACTGGACAACACAGATGCTTTGAGATGTGCTTGGTTTATCTATGGCTCCATATACCTCCTCCTTCCTCAACCAGAAGGAGCCCTGTGCTGGGAGTCTGGAAATTTGGGTTCTAGCTATGGACTCTGTCCCCCACCATTGTACTTTGGGCAACTAGCGAAATGCCTTCAGCTTCTCCAGCTTTAAAATGGGAAGTTTGGGCTCCCCAAAAGGTCTCTGAGGTTGTTCCGACTCTGTTCCATGATTTTACTTCTCTTCCTCCTGCTTCTCGCCTCCTCCGCAGCACCTTGGATGCTGCCATATCCTGCTCTGCCCTGTGACCTTGGAGAGAACACTTTGCTTCTCTGATCCTCAGCTTCCTAATCTGTAAAGTGGGTAGAATGATGGCTACCAAAAGAGTCGCTGGGAGGATTTAATGTGGGAACCTGGGTGAATGAGCCTAGTACTCCATCTGGCATATCCGCAGAGCCCAGTGACTGCCCAGTATCTTCCTTTTCCAAGCGTCAGGCTTCCAGTTAGGGTCTGAGAGGGTCATGTCCATAGAAGTCCTGAATCTTGAGTTCACATACCAAGTGTTGAGATGTGTCAGGTTGTGGAAACAAACAAGGGCTCTGGACCCAGAATGCCTGGGATCTGAATTCTAGCTCTGCCGTTTACTAACTGTGGGCCATGATCAATTACTTAATCACTCTTTGTGACACTGTGCACTCATGACATTTTGCACAGTTCCCGGAGGTGCAAGGACCTCCTGAAGCTAAGGCGGTCAGCCTGTCCAGTTGTCTGGGACCTTCTGGTTTTAGTATGTGTCCTGCCTCCGTCCCAGACAAACCAGGGGGTGGGTCACCCCGCCTGAAGCCTACCTAGGGAGGGCTGTGATCCCCGGGGCGGGGGAAGGTGCCCTATACTAGGGCTTCTTAGGCAGGGCTGTAGGCCAGGCATCCTGGGGACCTCTGGCCAGGGCTGTGTTTCCTGGGGAACAGTGACACCTCAGTCCTCTTCTTCTGAACAGAAACCACACCCTGCGCCCAGTTCTGGCCTCGATTTCCTGGGGGCTGGGCCACATCTTCCTAATATCTGTTTACCTCAGCACTTAGCACAAGGCCAGCACCTAGTCACTGTTGGGTAAACGCCAAGTATTGTAATATGTTGTGAATTAGAAAGGGTGCTTCCATTTGCAAAAAGCAGAAATCCAACTCAACGGACTCAGGCCAAAGAAAAAAACGTGAGGCGAGGCAGATTTATTAGCTCATATAGCTGAGAAGTCCAGAGGTTTAAGCTAAACTCAGGCGCAGCTGGCGGCACGCCCTCAAACCTGCAGGAGTCTCTGTGCACCGTTTGGCTCTGTTTTCCTCCTGCTGGCCTCGTTCTCAGGCCGACCCTTCCTGGGTGGTGCCAGAGATGGGTGCCTGCAGAGCCAAGGTAGCAACCCCGGTGGAAGGAGGGCTCCCCTTTCCCAGTGGTTCTAGCACAAATCCCAGGGGCTTTGACTGGCTTGTTTGGGACCCGGGCTCCTCCCTGAACCAATCACTGCGGCCAGGGAGATGGAATGCTCTGACTGGCTACGGCTGAGTTACGTGTCCATCCTGGAACAGAAGAATTGAAGGGGCCTGCCCTCATCTGAGCCACGCGGAGGAGGGAGTCTCCACATTAAAATCAGAATAAAACGGGGACAGGCCCAGATCACAGCTGTCCGTTAGCCACCTAAAACATGGTGAGCCACAGTTCTCTGTGACAGGCACATACACGCTGTGACAAGTGGGCAGGGTAGGTCCAGGGAGCCCGGGTCAGAGCCCAGAGAGGCACAGTGACCTGCCGGTGGTCTGTGGGGTGGCGACTTCCGCTGGGATGCAGCCACCTTAGCAAGATGCTGAGGAGTAGACCAAACCGCCTGTAGTTGCCCTCTGATCTCTCCCGTGGTTATTCCAGGTTCTTCTGTGACCCAGTTGCTGGCCCGAGACATGGACAATGACCCTCTGGTGTTCGGCGTGTCTGGGGAAGAGGCCTCTCGATTCTTTGCCGTAGAGCCTGACACAGGTGTGGTGTGGCTACGGCAGCCACTGGACAGAGAGGTACGACCGGCCATACCCCTGCCCCAGTTCTTTCCTGGGGGGCAAAGGCAGACAGTGAGGGGAGGCTGGCTCATCATCTTTTAGGGGCCTTCCCCTGAGGCCCCATCCTGACCCGGAAGTAGCATCTTCCTGCCGAAATGGCGTCCCTCTTCCAGGGCCAGTGCTGCCATCAGACTTGGGGTTGGAATGGGGTGGTTGGGGTGTCTCCAAACAAGGGACGGCCCTGGACGGGCAAGAAGGACAATGACCCAGGGTTCATCCCCCATAGAATGGTGGCTCCGTGGTGTATACAGGTCTACCCCCGGGAACAGTGTTCCCCTAAAGGACACTTTCCAGAGACCCAGGAATTGGTGACAAGGCAGCCCTTAGCAAATTAAGGTATGAGTTTGAAACCCCAACCTTTGTTTTCTCCTCACATTTGAAGAAGGGGCCACAGAGTTGTCTAGTGACTTGCTCAAGATCACACAGCACTTTGGAGGCCAAGGCCAGGTTAGAGCCCAGGGCCCAGGACTCAGGACGTCAGTGTGCCCCTCTCTAACTCTGCCTTCTCCCTCCCTCCCTTGTCTTTCAGACCAAGTCTGAGTTCACAGTGGAGTTCTCCGTCAGCGACCACCAGGGGGTGAGTGTCTCCAGAGACCCCTGCTGTCCTGGGAGGCAGACTCCCGGGGCCTTGGGCAGAAAGAGGCAAGGGACCCATGCCAACACTAAATCCCCACCCTTCTCTTGCCAGGTGATCACACGGAAGGTGAACATACAGGTTGGGGACGTGAACGACAACGCACCCACATTTCACAACCAGCCCTACAGCGTCCGCATCCCTGAGGTAGGAGCCCCCAGGGTCGCGCTTGAGGGACAGGGCGGGGAGTGGGGGGAGCTGCCGCTCCAGGGCCGCCTGGGAGTGGGCTGAAGCTGGGGAAAGGGCAACTGCACCTCTGCTTCTGCCGCCCACCCCGCAGCCCAAGCATCGGCTCCGGGCAGGTTGGCGACCGTGCCGACACCTCCGAAGGTAGAGTGGGTTGGTGGTAGCTCGGGTCTGATAGAAGGCCTGCCTGGGATGAGCCCCACAACTCCAGCTGGAGGCGGGACAGGACAGGAGTTGGGAGGACCAGGTGTTGTGGCCTCTTTCCTTCCATGCATAGCCCGTGTGGGCCTCAGGATTGATCCCCACGTGGATTGGCAGGTCCAACCCCAGACTTTCCCACTGTGGCCAGTACAGGTCCCACCCCCGCCCCCCACCAGGACACAGGAAGCAAGTAGCTCCAGGAAGGGACTTTCTTTCCCTAGCCTTATGCTTGCCCCCCGTCTCCCTGGCCCTCTCTGCTCCTTTGGGTCGTCTGTGTACTCTGAGTGTGTTTGCATGAGTGCATGCATGTAAAACCAAGCCATCGCTGGTAATTGAGAAGTACAAATTATTGCATTACGAACGGTTCATTAATAAGCTGGCTGCTGGCTCCCAATGGAACTAGGGTTCTCACGGCTTACTATCCCTCTCCCAGTGACTGATGGCAGTCTTCTGGGCTGGCAGTTAGCCATTCAAAGACCTTGAAGGTGGTGGGTAAAGAGCTTCTGCTGGGTGTCCCTCGGGCCTGCCCTCGGGGCTCTGGGTTGAATGGCAGAAATAAAGGGTTGGCCTGGGAAGGACTGGAGATGGAATCCACTGGAGAGAGGCAGGTCAGCACCATGGCGTTTGAGTTCCAGCCCCTTTGTATTATATGTCACTGGATCAGGAGACTGGAAGAGTCTTTAGAAAATATCTGTTCAGTTTGTACATGAGAAAACTGAGGCTCAGTATGGGACAGTGACTTAGCCAAGGTCACACAGCTTTGACCCTGAGCCTCCTGACTCCCAGGGCAGCCCTCAGATTACCTCCAGGATGATAAGACCTTGTCTCATGCTGTTCCTGTTCCTGGCCCTCCTCACTCAGCTATGAGCCAATGGTCCTATGGTTGTGCCAGATGGAGGAAAGTGAGGACAAGTGTGTGGGTAGGAGCACACCAGAGCCTCCCGCGCCCTTCCCCTGATGGGGCAGGGCATAAGGAGGGAGAACCCACAGTCCCAAGCATGGGGACACAGTGCCCTGAGCTGTGGCCAGCGTGTCCGGGACTGCAGCTTGGCTCTGGGCCCCCTCTCATTTGGAAGTCTCCCTAATTTAATTAAGGGTCTCTACGTGCCTGCCTGCACTCTGGGCCCAGGCTCAGAAACCAAGGGCACGGCTCAGAGTTAATGAGCCTTGGACCCATTGCTCAGCTGCCATCCTGGCAGGCATGGCTGCCCTCTGTCTTCCCTCACAGGGAAGGGGACGAGAGGTCACATCCTTCCTCCCCAGGCTTTGGGCTGGGGCCAGCCTTTTTCCTCGCTACCTTGCCAGGAGATATGACCTCCAACACCACCCTGTCGGAATCCCCTGGGGTTCTCCGAAGGCCTCTGCCTCCAAGGAGAGAGCCTCTTCAGTCAGTCATCTATTTAACAAATATTTATTGAGTGTCTCTGTGGGCTGGGCTCTGTGCCAGGCTCTCGCCACACAGAGACCTGGAAGGCCAGAAGAACACGCAATGACAGGAGGCAGAACCAGTGGCGGGAGACCCCAGGCCCGGCCCCTGCTCTGCTTCCAGGCCACTGAGTCCATTTGGGCATGTCACTTACGCTCTCTGGGCCATAGTCCTCCTTATCTAATAAAAACGGAGGACCCGCAGGGTAAAGCAGCCTGCCTGCTACCCATCTGATGAGGAGAGGGTGGGCCGAGAGGGGCCAGCTGCAAGGACACACGGCTCTCGGAGGACAGCCTGTGTGGTTTACTTGCCTGTAAACATCCCCAGGTCACCTCCTTTACTTGAGACGTGATGCCCTACTTAGGGCTGCTTGGTGTGACCGGTGGGGTGTGGTGTCAGCTCCTGACCCGAGGTGGCTTGGCACCCACCAGCCCTGGCCTGGTGTGGTCACCTGAGCGAGAACTTAGCTGCCTGGCTCAGGCCCCAGCTGAGGTACCAGTGAAGGGCCTGCTGGCTCCTGGCCCAGAATTGAGCCTGGGCTCTCCTGCTGGCCTGGAGGTCACCCTGGCAACGCCAGGCCCCTGCCCTTTCAGAAGCATGATGTGTGGCGGAGGCCCTATGGAAGTGAACAGGGTGAGAATGCAAACCAGAGAAAGAGGGGGGCCCTGGAGACCCTGTGAGGTGTCCGTGCTGAGGGGTTGCCAGAGTGATCAGAGGAATCTCAGCAGGCTTCCTGGAGGAGGTAGCTTTCCAGCTGACGCTTGCCAAGGTGAGCAGTGGAGCTCCTGTAGGTCAAGACACCTGGGGTTTAGTCCTGGCTGTGCCAGCTACTGGCTGGGTGAGACTCTGAGCTTATCACTGCCCCTGCTGGCTTTGGTTCCAACAGCTGTTAAACTGGGGAGTTGGACCAGGTTCCTTCTAGGGCTGATAGCCAGTGGTCTGAGGACGAATCCCAGCAGGAGAAGCTCCTAATTCTCCTTCAGTACTTCATTATTCCTCAAGGGCTGGCAGAGAAGCTCCCGTGGCTGTTTCCATCTACTGAGCTCCTCTTCGGGTCATGCCAGTCACCTGCCGCCTCTCCCTCACCTTCTCAGCATCCACTGTCCCCCACCCTAGGGGCCCTGATAATGTGGGGGTCTGTTGTGCCCAGAACCCAAGGATGGGTGTGAAGAGCAAGTTTATAGGGAGACAAATTCTAGGTCTACATAATGAAGAACTTTCTAATATTGAAACCTAGTGCACAGTCTACCCCCCTACCCTCCCAAGGATGTACTAAGCTCCCCAGCCCTGGACCTAAAATAGGAAGACCACGAGTTTCAGAAACCATTCAGAACTGAGTGTTAGAGAAGGGAGGAACCAGAAGATCCCAAACATTCTCCATCAGAATTTCCTGGGGGACTAGTTGGGATACATACTGTTGCACTCCTCCAACCCTGAATCAGTAGTTTAGAAAGAGCCAGCCCAGGAAGCTGCATTTTTAACAAACTCCCCTGATGATAGCAGCAAGCCCTGGAGACATGGCCCATGGGGACCCATGCCCTCGGGCTGGGAATAGGAGTGGGTGGGAGGCCGGATCAAGGCCAGGCCCTGCCCCTTTCTCCAGGAGAAGCTCGATGGCTTCCTGCCCTGCAGCCCTGCCCCTCTCCCTCCCGAGACCCCCTGCCTGGACCCGCCCCTGGTCAGGAGAAGTCAGACAGGTGTGTTTGGGTTTCTGTGCTCCTGGTTCCCCTCCTGCCCAGCCCTCTCCCCTCACTAAGCTGTTCTACATGTAATTATCCATTTTATCAGGGTGAAAGGCCCTGCAATTCACTTGTCGAAGCCCTAACGAGGCAGCGTGGATGCTTTCAAGTCCGTAAAGAAAAGGGAAATCCTGCTAGAATTGGCAACTTAATTCACCAAGCCAGCCTCGACAGACCTCATTAAGTCCCCGTGTATTCATTTCAGGCTAATGGCTGTCTTGCTGACTGCTATTTGATTTGCTGTAATAGACTTTTATGGCATTCCAATTTGCTCAAACGTGTTTGCCTGTGTCTGTGCCCAGCAGCACCGCTCCACTACCTCCATTAGGGGTGTGTGTCCGCCTCGCTGACCTTCAGCACTGCCCTGTCCCCTGTGTCCTCCTGGGGCCACCCCTCCCCCACAGCCCTCCAGGTGTGCCCTGGGGAGGTGACCCTGGGGCCGGGGTGTTGAGGCTGGAAGATGGGTATGAGTTTAGAAGTCGGATGGTGCCAGGTGGCTCCTCGGATCAGGGAGTCAAGGAGGGCTTCCGTAATCTCAGGGACGGCCATGTCCTTGAAGTTCTGACAGGTTCGGCCACCATAGCTGGACAGTTGAGGCTGTTATCCACCTGGCCTCCACCTACGTTTCTCGCCTTCCCTGCCGGCTTCCTCTGCGTGGATGGCCCTGTCAGCCCAGGGGCCGATTCAGTGCCCGGGAGCCTGTGTCTGTCTCTCTCTTTTCTCTTGCTCCAGCACACGTATGCTTCGAACTGGTACTGGAGTGTTCTCTTTCTGCTCTCAGCCTGACTCAATTCTGCCGGTCCTTTGAAGCCCAGAGCTGACCCACCGTGCCCTGATCCACTCCCAATTTTTATTTTTAAACGAACACAGCAAACATTTGCCGAATAGCTATGGAGCCAGGCCCAGGGATTCTGAGCTGACTCGGCTGTGTAGGGTAGAGTAAAAGGACTTTCCCATTTGCCAGCTGTGCAACTTTGGATGGTGACTTAACCTCTCTGGACCTCAGTTTTCTTATCTATGAGATAAGCCACTTTTTGTCTTGTGGGGTCATTGTGAGAGATAGAATAATGAAGGGGGATAAAGCCCTTAGCCCCGTTTGTGGCTCATTGTATATTCAGTAAAATGCTGGTGACTAAGACCAAGGTCTTGTCCTCAGGGGAGATAATTTTACAGGGAGAAAGACAAGTAAGAGAAGGTCTAACTACATATAAATGTATTAAATGCCATGGTGGCTTAGGGTGTGCAAAGCAGGAGGGAAGCTCTGTGGAAGGAATGACCTAGTCTCTACACAGGGGCTATTTGTTTGGGACCTCACAGGATGTGTAGAAGTTTGGTAGTCACAGAAGGAGATTATGGTGTCTCTGAATATCATATACTCTCTGTCCTTTAGCTTCTTTTCATATATTGGAATTTCCAAAAGAGGGACGTGAACTCTAACCCCTGACCAGGGATCCTGTTGAAGAGGGGCCAGTGGCTGTTGGGGTATGTGTGTCCCTCACCGGTGCCCAGTGTTCCCTTGTGGAAATAAAGCTGGGCTGGAAGTAGGCTCCCTGGGTCCCTGCCCAGGTCACTGTGACAGACAGGTCCTGCATAGA